ATTGACATTAAAGACCTTTGTTTAACTCCTTAACTGCTGTCTTGCCTTGCTGGTCCGCCTGGGTCTTGACAAGAAAACTATAGATCAGTTCACTGAAAGATTTCTTTTGCATTGTCTCATAAAGCAATGCTAGCAGTTAGCCTACCTATCCAAGTCAAGCAATATTTAAGTTGGATCCAGGAGATTTCATCATAAACAAAGCAAAGAGGAAGACGCTAAATTTAATCTAAGTACTCTAATCAAGTCTCCTGTCAATTTATGTCAATTTATGTTACGATAACTATCTTCATGATCCACTAGATAGTAAAACCTCAATTTATATGCATATTAATCTGCCATGGTCCCTTTCCTGACTATTTTGCTCCTGTCCTGTAGAACTGAAGCTCAGTTACAATATGTCATTTAGAACAAAAGCTCTCTGGGGATTTAGAAACAAGTTTAGGCATGCAAGGATTCTGTGAAACCTTCCAAATAAAGCACATGCAAGCATAGGTACATCCAATAAAATAGAACTTAGTTTCGATTTTTAATTGCTTTCCTGGACTGAGTGCCAAGAATTAAGTGCAAAAAAAGTTTAATGCATTTTTCCTTTTAATAAAAACAGATAAATACACCACAGTGATGTTTATACAGAGAGAATACATCAATTTCCTTATATAGTATTAACACAAAGATATTGAATAAGTTTGTCCTAGTTCTTTGTCCTTTCCAGCTCAACAAGTCATAGTAGAAGCTTAGCATATACAAAGTGGAGGACTATGGTCTCATTTGAGATGTTGATACCAAAGGGATGGTGATGATGAATAAGAGGTATAATTTGAAATGAGGCAGAGGAACAACATCTGGAAGTAGCATGACCCAGAACCATGAACTTTCAGGGGTAATACTCATGGTTTCACCTATCCACATCCAACAAAACAAGTCCTCTGTAAAGATTTTCTAGGGTCTCCAAGAGATTCTATTCTTCCACTGGAAGTTATCATTGACTCATTGTAGAGGACATAGAAAATTCCTTCTCTAGTAAGTTTTAGGTCCCTTCAAGGCAACTGTATGGTAGAAATTAATAATTTCATTATGTTTTGCTATGATCCATGGTTTAATGTTTCCAAAGTAGACTCAAGAACATATCTCCTGTGGACATGGGGGGTTGTACTGTATTGCAGAAACATAACAGGTGAGTTGGGAAGAGGAGGTGGAGGATGTGATCTATGTGTTATTTTCATGCTGACCGAGAGGACTGATGTGTTACAAGCTGTATCCCCTCCTCTCAGCAATGGACAAAACAGAAAATAAATGAAAAACAAAATGTATCTATATGAATAAATAATACTAATGAGTAGTCATGTGTTCCTTCACAAATCTGTGGTGTTAAAGACAAGTATAGTGTGACTGAATACTATTATCCCTCCCATGGGATGGAACCTAAATTCAAAATTTGAAAATAACAGCTCTTATCTTTAGGGGATAGGGATATACTAGGAAGATTATTGATTCTTGGTACTCATCTCTGACAAAGTATCATAATTTCCACAGTTGGGAAATGGCTCCTTTGAGCAAACTGAGCTCTGTTTTCTGAGCACTGTTATTTCCAACATACATTGGTCTCCTAAACATAGGTCTGTGAATGCCAGCAGTATTTGCTGCATTAACTAGGAAAAGATGTGTGGCTTTAAAGTTGAATACCATATTCCAAAGCACAAGAAACATGTTCTAATAATGTGCTATTTGCAGTGGAGGGTTTCCTTAATCTCATGACCATAAACTTCCTGTGGCTAAAATGGCCTAGAATCGGGTCTAGAGTTTTTTGTAAATAAACATGTATCACAAATATTCTATAAACACTGTATTTCTCAATGTGGTACCATAATCAACACAGCTCCAAGAAAAATGCAGGGAACAAAATCAAGCTCTTTACATGGTATTCATTGACCTTGCAAAGGCATTCGACACAGTGAATCACAGTGCTCTCTGGACCATCCTCCTGACAAATTTGTGAACATCCTGAAACTCTTACTTGATGACATGATGGCAATGGTCTTGAACAGCAATGGCTCCCAAAGTGACCCATTTAAGGTGGAATCAGGTATCACACAGAGATGTGTTATTGCTCCAACCTTATTTTCCATCTTCATTGCTATGATACTTCATCTTGTTGATGGGAAACTTCCCATTGGAGTGGAAATCATCTATCGGACAGATGGCAAGCTATTTAACCTCAGCAGACTGAAAGCCAAAAACAAGGTTATAATAATATCTGTTATAGAACTACAATATGCTGATGACAATGTCATCTCTGCGCATTCAGAAAGAGACCTACAAGCCACTCTAAACACCTTTTCAGAAGCATACGAGAAGCTCGGCCTGTCATTGAACATCGAGAAAGCCAAAGTGCTTTTCTGGCAGTCACCAACCAATTCCTCTCCAATGCCAGAAATACAGATTAATGATGTAATATTAAAAATGTTGACCATTTCTGCTATCTTGGCAGCCACCTCTCCACAAAAGTCGCATTGACACTGAAATACAACACTACCTAAGCTCTGCGAGTGTAGCATTCTTTCAAATGAAGCAGAGAGTGTTTGAGGACTGGGACATCTGTAGGGATACCAAGGTGTTTGTTTATAAAGCCATGGTCCTCCCAACCCTATCATACGCCTGCGAAACGGGGACTGTCTACAGATGTCATACGCAACTCCTGGAACGATTCCATCAGCGCTGCCTCTGAAAAATCCTGAAAATCTCTTGGGAAGACAAGCGGACAAATGTCAGCGTGCTGGAAGAAGCAAAGACCACCAGCATTGAAGTGATGCTCCTCCGCCATCAACTTCGCTGGATTAGCCATGTAGTCCAAATGCCCAGTTACCATCTCCTAAAGTAATTACTCTACTCCGAACTCAAGAATGGGAAATGGAATGTTGGTGGTCAGGAAAAGAAATTTAAAGATGGGCTTAAAGCCAACCTTAAAAACTGTGGTATAGACACCGACAACTGGGAAGCCCTGGCCCTTGAGCAATCTAACTGGAGGTAAGATGTGGTCAGCAGTGCTGCAGAATTCAAAGAGGCACGAATGGAAGGTGAAAGGGAGAAACATGCCAAGAGAAAGGCATGTCAAGCCAACGCTGACTGGGACCACCTTCCATCTGGAAACCGATGTCTTAACTGCGGGAGAACATGCGGATCAAGAATAGGGCACCACAACCACCTACGGACTCACTGCCAGGACACCACATCTGGAAGACAATTATCCTCGAGCTACGAGGGATCGCCTAAGTAAGTAAGTAAGTAGGTACCATAATCACCATTCATATTTCTGTCGGGAAGCATGGAGCCTATAATAATGAACGATAATATGTGTCTTTCTGTCTATTTGTCTTTATTGTAACTTCCAGACTGTGACAACCGACAGTGGACTTAGAAATCCGTAGAACATTCAGATCAGATTTAATTTGTTTTAAATAATGATTTATTCAGTTTAATTAATTCCTCCTGAAAGAGGGAAAGGAAGCAGGAGACATTTCGACTGCTTGGTAATGGGGAAGGAGGAAGTACACAGGCAAAGGCTGAGAAGCACTAGAGCAAGGGTCCTCAAACTAAGGCCCGGGGGCAGGATATGGCCCTCCAAGGTCATTTACCTGGCCTTTGCTCAGAGTCAACCTACTTCTGAAATGACTTGAAAGCACATAACAAGAACAACAATGACCTTGGAGGGCCTTCGTTTGAGGACCCCTGCTCTAGAGGTATGGTTCATACAAGACCTTTTGGGGGAGGAAGGGGGCATGGGTTCAATTACACTTCCCCCAGAAAAAAACCAATAAGAGGTTCAAACAGTACTGAACAATTTATAGATCACAGCCAATTTCATTCCCTTAATTCCTGCCATCACTTTCTGTTATTAACATGTATCAGGAAAGAGGAGTTACAAAAGTGAAGCTAATTGGAAATCATAAAGAAAAGCTATTCAATTTAGATATTATTTCTTGTTCCGCTACACACCAGATAATTGCTGCAATCCAACAGATATCACTCCCTTCCCAAATTTCGGTCTTGTGGCTTCTCACTCTGCTAGTTTCCTTTTAGATGGTGGAACAAGATGAACTGGGAGTTCACTGGGGAGCTCATGGCCCTCTAGCTTAACTTTTACAAGATGATTGGCCAAAGCAAACTCTTCATCATCCAGCATCCCATCCCTATCAATATCGGACAGTTTCCATATTTTGCCTAACACTGTGTTAGGAAGCTTGGATTTCACGAGTTCCTTCTTAGCATTAGCACCAGTTATTTTCCCATTAATGGGTGACAACGTGTAGAAGATCTCATCATATATGGGCTTATCTCTGGATACCACCCAGTTTATGTCATCAATTCCTTCTCCTGCTCCTTCACCATAGCCATGTCCAAATGGGCCTTGTAGAGTGCCTTCAAAAGCTCCACCTTTCACTGTTTGGATAGGCTTGTGGGACTCCTCCTTGCGTACCAGCACCATGAGCTTTGCAATGTCTTTGGATAGCATATCTTCTACGGCATCCAACAACTTGCTTTTTATTGGCTGGAACTTGCTGAAATCTTGAGCCTGAAGGAGCTCCTGAAAGGCAGTCAATAAGACAGAGATGTGTATTTTTTTACCATTTAGTGCAGTGTTGGTCAACTGCACCAACTCCTAACAAATACCCCAGTGAAAGAGTTCATATTTTTGGATCTTTCAAAGCTTCTCAAGGGCAATTATTTTGAGATCAAAATGTAGTGTAAATGCTCTTTCCACCTCCTACTGATCATTTTGGGCACTATGGAAACTACTGCACTGTGTCTATCTTTGATTTTGTGTTACAGTGATAATCCAGGTGTCTGCAAATCTGATCACTCAGCAACTATGGGCCTCAGTTTGCAATCCCACAAATGTAGTCAATGAGTGCACATGGGTTAGTCAACAGACTGAAACCATAACTGTGATTTAATTGCAGGGTCTGGGCATGAATACATGAAGTCTAATTCCACCCTCTTGTTCTGATACAACGTGTGCACTACAGTTTAAAGGATTTGTGAGCGCTGGCTGTTTCATTTGGCAGAATGAGACCCACCTGGTGTCAGGAAAAAGAAGCAAACTGTTAGTTACCTTGTTTGTAAGGGAATAAGCTAGAATTATGAAACAGTTTTGAAACTCTCCAACATAGTTTTGGCCAATGTTTCCCCACCATCCTCAGATGCTCTATTGTTTCTGGAACTCACCTGCATCTTTTTCAGATTGGGAAAGTCTCCTGGTGAAATCTGATACTCCCGTTCAATTCGTCCATAAATCACTCTCAAATTCTTCACAAGTTCTTTCTTCTTATTGTCTTTGCCAAACACTGATGGCATTTCTTTCTTAAGTGAGCTAATGATGTAAGCATGAACCTGCATCAAAGCACAACCATGGGATATTCAGAATATTCCTAGAATGCTCATGTTTTCACAAAACCTTGTTTCATTTGCATTTTTTCTCTCTTTTAAAATATGCATTCTCCTTTTCCACAGTATGTTATTTTTTACATTCTTGCTTCCTTAGTCCTCTCTATAGGTTTGAGATACTGAATTTTGGATTGACAGACTGTAAAGTGGTCAAAGTCACACATAAAGCTTCATGTCTGAAGATGATGTAAAATTAGAAAACTACAAGATACCAGCTTCATGTCCATCATGTTTTTTTAAAATAATCAATTTCCAATAAAATAAAATAAAATAAAATAAATAATAAGACAAATATACCTATGAGTGTTAGTATGATAAATGTGGCATATGTATCAGAATGTGATGAGGAATTTAGGAGTTGAATCTCTACTCAGACTTGGTTAGACAGTCTTCTGACGTTTCTATGTAATCAAATCTCCTAGCAATTTTGTCAGAATGGAATTACCGTAACACTCCACACCTTGGCTCTATTTTTAGTCCTTACTCAATTCTTCTCAGGGTGGTTATAGAGTGTCTTCTTTTTGAAACCCAATAATTTTAAGGAAAACATAAGAAAGGCCCCTTTGGATCATTTAACAAACCAGAGCTGGCTAAAGTGCATGCTAGTGCTCTCAATTCATCCTCAGTGATCTTTCATTTTGCATTGTTTTAGATCTGAAATAATCCTTGTACGTTCTATGTGATGTGAAGGAAATGTTCTACTCCCTTGAGTTGTTTTAGCCGTAGAAAATGGATGATCTCCCCCTCAACAAA